TGTTCTATTTGTCTAAAATATAACCCTGGAAAACCACTCCATAGGTCACAGAGACATTTCCTGTGCAGGAAAGAAACAGCCTTAATGAGAGGCAAATTATTATTGAAAAAAATAATTTCCAATTGGAGAATTCCCACTGAATTACATAGTAACCTAGGGACTCATTTCACTGGGTAAATAATACGATCTATTTATATTTGGCCTATTTTGCAACATTTTTATTGTGCTTATTACCCCCAGTCCTCTGGATTTGTGGAACATACCAAAGGTTCAGTCAAAACCCAACTAGCTAAATTCTTAGAAGCTTTTACTCTCCCTTGGCCAAGAGTTTTCCTTATACTGTTCCTCTGTCTAAGATCTATCCCTTTTGGTAAACACAGCCTTTCTCCTATGAAATAGTTACTGGTCACCATGTTCATCTAGATGAGGGGCATATGAATCAGCCATACTAAAAGGAGACATTCTACATTATTGTTAAGGACCCATTAACCAACTTAAAGAAAATGATAAATTAATAACTGATACATTTCACAATGCGCTCTTGGGAGATGAAGACTTCAAAGACCATAACTTATAAAAGGAAATTTTGTCTTTGGAAGAAACATCAAATAAAAGATTCCCTTTAAACCCCACTGGAAGGGACCCTATCAAGTATTACTAACTAATCCATGTGCAGCTAAAATGAAAGGAGTAAACTCACAGATTCACATTTCTCATTCAAAAAAGGCACCTGACCATAAATGGCCATCTACCTCCTCTCTGACACTCACATCTGCCTATATTGGGTATCAGAAACTCCTCAAAGATGAGAAGCTACTGACAACTGAAATAAAGGATTGTTTCTAAGAAAATGGACTAGGCCTGTATCACATCAGCCTTTATAGATGTGACGTAAAGGTCGAATTTTGTGCTGATCTTTGTTTATAAGACTATACTGTATTATAGGGAAGATTGTTAACATGATAACAAGCCCAATCTTTCCTCTCTTCATGCTCTCTCTTTCTCATTACTCTCTTTAATGCTTGTAAAGATAATATTTTGCTAAAAACTCTCCCAAAGTGCTGCTAAAAGAGAAAGTCTAACTGATCATTGGATATGTCATCAAATTCCTAAATCAATAAGAGACAAGTACCTCTAGTTGCTTCTGTTACCAACTTCGATACCATTGCCAATGTCACTGCTTCCCAGACCACCCACATCAACCACACATTTTAAGTAGACATTAATCAGGACCCACGGACATCCATCCCCTGCTTATCACTATCCCGTGTCATCTCCACCAAATTTGAATTTAACTCTGCTCCCTCCCCGATCTCTTCCTTACTTGATCTCCGAATGTCTACATGACAAAATTGAAAGGAAAAATGTAACCAAATTATGTAAACTTGTTCCTTCCATCAAGTACCACACCACCCTGATGGATTCTGGGAAACATGTAAATGGTTTCACCCTTGGTTGAAAGGGATTCTCTCAGTCATACCTATGAATGAATCCATATACGAAAATACTCTTCGGAGGGGGGTGATTTGTACCCAAATTGATTTTTATATGTGGCATGGGAGAAAATCCCCCAACTAAAGGATGGGCACACTGATGTTTAGACAGTTGGCAAATGGAAGGACTCTGTTTATTGAGGCAATTTATTATTCCTTTACCTATTCATAAGACTCCCCCACCTTTCAATAGGACAAATTATTTTAACAAAGAGCTGTTTCAACAGAATCAAGAACAGATCATTAAGCCCAAAAGAAAAAGGCTTGCCAGTTATGACAGTATTGGATAAAGTATACTTAGCATAATAATCCTGAGAGCCAGAATATATATCAATAGGGATATGATTAGAAATTTATCTGCCACCATTGGACAAATGAGCAAAAAGATGGCTAAGATTATTGTTGCCCAATAAAAGTCTCTAAATTCTCTTGCTCAGCCTTTGACTATTTGCCGGCCAAACAAGTTGGAGTTTGTGCCATCACTCATACTACCAATTCCACATATATAAACACCTCAAGAGAAATAGACTCTATTAGAAAAGGTCACTCAACAAGCTAAATGGCTACAAGATGACTCACTACATGACTTGTTTAGCTGGTTGCCTTCAGAGTTAGGAACGTTGTTTTGATTTCTTTTACAAATTGTTATCATGATATTGATAGGTTTGTTGATCATTTTTGTAGCATTCAAACTCATAGTCTATTGTCTTTCTCACTGCTTGAAATCAGCTGCTTGTAGTAAAATTATGGTGGCATGAAAAATAGAAATGATTCATCAAGCACTATGTCCTTTTAATTCAGAATGATTTGAAGACTTTTTTTGCCCCTGGCTAACCAGTTCAACCTCATTTCATACCACTTCCCTCCCTCATACTTTCTCCTATAGTTACTGCACTATATGCAATCCTTGGGCCATACTATGCTTTCATGAACTTTGCCCCCATTTGTCTCTTGGCATATTTGATTCATCTATCCAAGGTCAGTTCAAATGCTGTCTATTTTAGGGAGGCTTTTCCTGTCTTCTTAGAGCAGAATTAGGCCCCCTTGCAGTTACATTGCATTTTACACCTACTTTCATATTATTGTATTATAATGATTACTTAACTGTCTTCCCAATAAAGTTTTGAGCTCCTTGAGAATAGAGGCCATTCTTTTTTTTTTTGGTAAAAAATCTTTCAAATTTTATGTGAATTTTTTTTTTTTTTTTTTTTTTTTTTTTACTATTTCTTTTGGGCTAGGCACCTAAAGCCCAGTGTTTGGAATATAGTAAGTACTCTATACGTATTTGTTGTGTAAATTATTTTGATTTCATGTAAGGATATTTCTCAATGAGAGCTATTCATTATGAAAGTAGGTTTACTGAGGAATATAGAGTCTTTTAAAGTCATCTTTTAAGAAAAAATTGCCAAATGAGACCTATTTTCTTTTTTTCCGAATATTATTTCTATTTTATGTATTTTTTAAAAAATTTATTTTATTATTAGTTTCAAATTTCCAATGTATTGATTAGACATTTATAGAGTTTATAAAATGATCCCCCTAATTGCTCCTTCTTTCCTCTGGCTCACTTGGACCTTCACTATATGACTTTTAAATGTTTCTTTAATCAAACAGTCAAGTATTTATTGAGCATCAGCTTTGTACATAGCATTATGCTACAAGGTGTAGAGAAAAATACAAAAATGATGTTCAGTATTGGTTGGTACAAAAGAAACACAGGCAGCTAATGAGATATGGCCAAATATGAGAAGCCCTGAGGGTGTGATCCAGACCATAGGCACAACAGTTGCTGAGAGAGGAGGCAGAGGACAGGGATAGGAGAGACTGGGAAATCTTCATGAGGTGAGTCAGAGAGAAGGCATCAGATTTGGGTAGTTAAAGAGGAAAAAGAAAGGCAACTTGGAGTGTTTGCACACCAAGGGCCTAGCCAGCATGTAGGAAGCAGCAGGCAGTTGACAAATTATTTCTGAATAAAGAAAGAGCAACATCCCTTGGGCCACTCTGTGTTGCTGTCATTTTAGGTCTAACAATCTTTAGATGTTTGGCTCCTCTTTGTCTTCATTTCAGGAATGGGTTATACACAAATGAGTCCTAATACACACAGAATAAACAGCGTTCTTCTGGCTTTCTTCTGATTTCCTTCCATACAAAGTTTTTACTGCCTCTGTCTAGAGCCATGCCATGAGTCAAGCACTATGATTTTATCTTGATTATTTATCATTGATTGAGAATCCTACAATTTTCCTTAGTGATACTTATGGAAGCTATAGGCTGCAAGAATCTTACATGCTTCAAATGTATTTTCTGTGATGATTTAAGTAAAGGGTCATAAAACCATTTTGCATCTAGGATGGACCTTGTAGTTCATTTTGGCCAATTCTTCATTTAATAGGGAAAAAATTTAAGCCTTGGGGGGAGTTGAGATTTGCCTAAGTGAATGGCAGGTGAAGGCTCAGAAATTCATGTTTTCTGGCCCAGTCTATCATCCATAAGGCATGGCAAGCCTTAAGGTGTTCCCTTTGTCCTCTCCATCTCATTGACCAAGCTCCCTAGGCTGTCTCCCAGGTTTGGTCATAGGTCCCATCCTCTACATCCCACTGTCACGAGACATTTCAGTCCCCATCCTCTCAGTTTTTACTTCTTTTATTGCAACTCTAAGAGTGACCTGGAGGGCACTGGGGAGGAAAAATGATTTGGGCAGTCCCTCTTTTCTAACTTTTCTGAAACTGGAATGACCCTTATTATTTTTATTATTACTTTTACCACTGTAAATAGTTTTAACTGATGATGTCAACAGACTCTATAGGCTAGGTGATTTCAAAAGGCTCACTCCTTCTTAAGCAGGGATAAAACCTGGCCCACAAGTGACTGCTCCACATAACTCCATACACTGGCTCAAGAAGAAATCAGCTGCTAGGGCTTTTCCTGATTCTTTTAGAAAAATAGTCAGTAGGGACAGTTTCACAAAAATCTTTCCTGAAACCACATATGATCTGAAAGTAGTAAACCCATGGCCTAAAAAGGATGTCATCACACCAAATTACTAGTTAGTAGGCTTTCACATTCTGCAAATGAGGGTTCGTTGAGGCTCTGGAAATCATGTTTAGGGGTCATGTTCCCCTCATCTAGGGACTCTATGTAACTGCCAATTCCAAAAGGAAACAGACTTGGGAGCAGCACAGATTTGGACAATATTCTGCAACTGTGATTTTTTTCCCCTGCATTTTCCTTATGCCTTTCTTCTCTATAGGGTTATAACTCTGAATACTTAGAGAGTGATAAAATGATTTTCCTCCAGGAAAGAGAACCTTTAGGAAAATGGGTGGAGTTGGCTGGCTGAGCAAGCAATGGCCCATTTGTGCAGAAACCGGTCTTAGCCATAGGAGGGTGGGTAACTATTCTCGGGTATAAGAATAAACCCTTAAGTGACAAGATGTCAGTCATGAACATTACTTATATTCAGCAGCAACCCTTGAAACACATTTAAAATTCAATCCAGCAGGTAACCTTTAGCTGTTGGGCTCTTTGGTGCCATTTGTCTTCAAGATCGATGGCAGCATTTTCAATCTCTTCGGCATTCTGAATAGATGTCTTGTCAGTTACTCTGACTGGATAGGAGATCTAAGAGGGTAAAACATATAGCATGTTAATTGGATTCAGTTTAGTCTTAGAGCCATGGGGCTCAAGTCTGTGTATTCTAGAAAGAAGCCCTGTAGGTCTGGGTTTTATTTTCAGTTCATTTCAAGGATTCATCTTAGTACTCAAGGACCTGGATTGTTCCCAAGGAAAATATGAATAAACAATGTTTTCTCTTGCAGGCACAATGTGAGAATTGGTGCTTTGAAGTCAAACTACTAATAACTTTAAATGCTCAATACAAACTCAGGGAACCTAATTTTCCACAGTTATCTGAACCAGATGCTACAACTAATGTTTGAGTATGCCAAATGAAATAATACACTTCAAGATGATGATAACAATAACAATAGAAATAACAGTAGTATGTAATACACATGAATGTTCATAGTATGCCAGTAGCTGTCTTAAGTATTTGGCATATATCAGTTAATCTTCACAATAATCTTATCAGGTATGCACTATTATTATCTCCTTTTGGAAATAAGAAAACTGAGGGACAGAGAGATTAAGTAAGTTGTTCAGAATCAACAGCTAGTAAGTAGAGGAGCCAGGCTGTCTAACTACAGAGCCTGCACATTTAACAGTTTTGCTAAACGAACTCACTTATTAGAAATATTATCTTTGACTTACAGAATTTGTAGTTTGGCACTCAGTTAATTTGAAATGATGTAGGTCAGTGGTTCTTAACTTTAGTAAGATATTAGAATACCCTAGGAAGCTTTTTAAAAATGTCAATGCTGTAGTCCCATCCAAGACCAATTAAATCAGAAGCTCTGAGTGTGACCCCGTATATAAATATAATTTAACCTCCTCCCCACCAAGGTAGGTATAATCTGCAGCAAGGTTTTGGAACCATTGATAAGGGCAGCTACATAAGACTTAGGTCCCCAAATTATTTAGGAGACTTAGGTCCCCAAATTATGAAGGCCTTTTATTGCCTCCATTAGCTACCTGTTTTAAAGAAATTAGATTGTCTCTGCGCTCTAGCCCTCAGGTAGCATTTCAGAAAGCAAAGTTAAAGTTATACAATCTTAATATTGGAAAAGATTCTGGAAGTAACCAGTACAACCTCTGGTAATTCTGTACCATCCCCGGTAGATGTTCATCCACTTGCTGGTTAAACACATGCCCCGTCTCCTGGTGAGAGTTACCTGTATGGTAGTATTAGTATAGGTTTAAAGATTGAGGAGGAGGAAAGAATACAGTGGCTTGTGAATATTCCCTTTCAACTATCCCTTGGAGTAAAATGTTAGATTTCTTAATCTCTATCTCATGGATAATGAATATATAATTCTATCATTAAGCGACCTAAATGCTATAAATCTCTTCCTTATAAAAGCAGAAATATTTTTTCTGTAATTTCTCCCCCTCTGCCCTCTAAAATAACATAGAATAAGTCAATCTCTTTTAGAAAACTCTGAACTCTAAACTCTGAGAAGCTGACTGCAATGTCCTTTCTGAGTCTGCTCTTATTTAGAGGACCTATTTTGAGATTCCCTTGCCATTCTTCCCAGGACAGGTTATTCAGGTTGAGCTCCTTTGACCACTCTGCTTTATCACCTGTAAATACTGGTTTTCCCTTTTCTAAATCGATGTGATTAATTTTAAAATTTAGATTCAGGATTTTATACTTGTTTTGTTAAATTTCTCTGGTGGGCCGTGTAGTGTGAGAAGCAGCAAAATGTAACACTTGAAAGAACATGGGATTTAGAATTTGTCATGTTTATGTTCAGTTTTTCCTTTTGCTGCTTATTTTTACTTCATATGCAGATGAGTATTTAATATGGGAAGAGGCAAACATATTAATGAAATATTAGGTAATAAGTAAGCATTTGACAATGAAAATAACCTTATTCCTCACTATTCAATGTGGCTTCTCTGGCACAAGAAAGACAACATTTTGTTTTCTTTATTTTGGGTGTAGTCTTATCTCTACCTGAATGCCTACTTATCACAATTACTGTATATACATACATATATATGTGTATATGTATGTGTGTGTATATATATATATGTACATGTGTATATATATATATATATGTATGTGTACATATATATGTGGCAAATAGATAGTGTGGAAGTTTAGACACTTAAAGATTGATCTGAAAATAGGAAAAAATGAAAATAAAATTTTTCCATGCTTGAATTTTCACTGCTAATACAAGGTGCAAAATGTACTATTTTATGATGGAATTTTTCTGATTACAAATGGAAATAATCAACAAGTTTTGAATCATTACCTATTCTGCAAATGGAACTTTACACCACCATGAAACAGTTAAACTTGTGCTGAAATGCTGCTCAAGGTCAGGAACCATTTTTAATGTTTCTATTTCTCAATCCCTCTCACAGAACTGGTTCAAGAAACATTAGACAAAAATAAGAAGTATTACGATTCACAACTTTTGTCATTGTCATTATAAAGGTTTCAATCACTTATTGCCACTATGTTAAGAAGAAACAGCTTTCTTTAAAGAAAAATCAGCTCTGTCTTGGAGGAGAAATGAAGGCTAAGAGTAAAAAAAAAAAAAAATCTAAATAGGCTGCCTACACAGGCAAGGAAATATTCCTTTCTCAAATCTCAAGGAGATGTCTTGGATGAACTATCATCTGGAGCCTGGGAGAAAGTGACATTGGGCTTATTCCTCTATCTGCCACTGGGTGGTTTTATTCCCAGGCTGTTGTAAAGAGGACTTGGTTTAGTTGATTCAGTTTTTCACTGGTGATATTGTTTGATTGACAATGATGGGATATCTTATATAGCTTTGGTAAAAAGTTTACAAATTAAAAATACATTGTCAGAAAAAATGGTGTAGATGATAGAGGCTTTGTTCCCTCTTGCAACCAAATCTAAGTTGTGACAGAAACACAGAGCAAACAGCAAGCAAAACTGTCAGGGATCCAGATGAATAGAAACACTACAACTAGGGAGAAAAATAATTAATCGATCTGCAATGGTGGAAGGTAGGAGGGAGTGAAGATGCGACGCTGCCCAGTCCGAGGGGCTGAGTGGGACAGAGACTACAGCAGCAGCTGGCAGCTGCAGATGCCTCTTAAAGGGGCTGTGTTCAGGACCGGATTTAAGCAGTGACAGACCTGCTTGCTCTGAGCACCAGCTTAAGTTGGCTCCATGGGGGGCACCAGGGACTTACAGGGAGACACTGAGTTGTTGGAGGTGAGGATCTCTCCTGGGCAGAGGTGCTGGCAGTATCCATTGTTCCTCTGTTGAGTCCGCCCCCATCCCAGTGTGCAGACGCAGCACTACTATAGCTGAGATATCATCAAACTGGATAACAATGGTTGCTCTGCACAGAGGATTCCCTGAAACTTCACCTCCCCCAATTTGTGGCCCCACCCAAGCCACATCCAGGTGTGTGCTCAGGAATCTGGTACTCCTGGCTGAGCAGTGCCAAGACTCACACAGGTGACAGCTGGCCTTGGCTTTTGGTGTGGTCTCTTGAGGTAACTGTAGGCACAGCATCTGTGAATTGCTTGCTGAATCTTAACAGGTGGCCCTGGAGGGACACAGGCTGGGGCTGAACTTGGTCTGCAGCTGAACCCCTCTCAGGATTGTGCCACTGGACACCTACCACACAAAGCCTCACTAATAAGACTGGGAGACTTAGAAGCTTTGCTTAGTACATAGAGACAGACACAGAAAGGCAGCCAAAATAGGAAGATAAAGAAGCAGAAACCATATGACAGAACAGAACAGAGATCCAAGAATAATAGAGTCAAGCAATCTAACAGATGCAGGGTTCAAAATACTAGTTATAAAGATGTTCAATGAACTTAGGGGAAGTGTAGATAAATTCAGTGAGAACTTTAACAATGAGATAAAAAACATGAAAATGGAAATGGAAATTATAAAAGGGAACCAATCAGAAATGAAGAACACATCATCTGAGATGAAGAGTATATGAAGGGAAATAAACAGAGTGGATAAAGAAGAGGATCGAGCCACCAATACAGAGGATGGGGAAGCCAAGGACACTCAATCAGAATGGCAAGAAAAAGGAAGCCAAGACTAAAGAATAATTTCAGGAGCTTATGGGACACAATTAAATATAAAAATATCCATGTTATTGGGGGTATCTGAAGGAAAACAAGACCTTGAAGAGCTATTTGAAGAAATAATGATGGAAAATTTCCCTACCCTGGTGAAGGAAATAAACATACAACCCTAGGAAGCTCAGAAAGTCCCCAGAAAGATGAACCAAAAGAGGCCCACACCAAGACATATAATAATTAAAATGCCAACGGTTAAATACAAAGAGAGAATCTTAAAAGCAGCAAGAGAAAGAGATCTAGTTACCTACAAGGGAGCTCCCATAAGACTGGCAGGTGATTTCTCAAAAGATCCTATGCAGGACTAAAGGGCTTGACACAAAATATTCGACGTGATGAAAACCCAGGATCTACAACTAAAAATACTTTATCCAGCAAAGCTATCATTTAGAGTTGAAGGACAGATAAAGAACTTCCCAGACAAAAATAAGTTAAAGGAATTCATCAACGCCAAGCCAATATTACAGAAATGTTGGAGGGACTTATTTAAGAAGAAAAAATGTATCAAAAACTGGAATAAGGAATGGCAATCACTACTTATCTATCAACAAATACCTCGAATGGAAAATAATTAAGTGCTCCAACCAAAAGATAGGATGGATAAGAAAACAAGACCCCTACATATGCTGCCTACAAGAGACTCACTTCAGATTAAAAGACACACACAGACTACAAGGAAGGGGTTGGAAAAAAGATATTGCCTTGATAGACCTAGAGGATATTGCGCTGAATGAATTAAGTCAGATAGAGAAAGACAAATATTGCATGATATCACATACATGTGGAATCTAAAGAACAAAATAAACAACAACAAAAATGGAAATAAACTCATAGATACAGAGAATATTTTGAGGGAAGGGGTTGTGGAGATGGCGAAAAAGGGCAAAGGGATTAAAAAGTACAAATGGATAGTT